AGAATCAAAAGGTGATAGGATGCAAATGGATATTCAAGCTAAAACCGGGGATTCCAGGGGTTGAAGAACCTAGATACAAAGCTAGGTTGGTGGCAAAGGGGTTCGCTCAAGTAGAAGGAGTTGACTACAATGAGGTATTTGCTCCGGTTGTGAAGCACGTGTCAATCAGATTATTGTTATCAGCAGTGGTGAATCATGACATGGAACTAGAACAGCTAGATGTCAAGACAGCTTTCCTACATGGAGTCCTACACGAGACAATCTACATGAGCCAACCTGAAGGGTTCGTTAAGAAGGGACAAGAGGACAAGGTTTGTCTACTAAAGAAGTCCCTATACGGCCTAAAACAGTCACCAAGAGAATGGAATCACAGGTTTGATCAGTTTATGAGCAAGCAGAATTACAAGCGCAGCGAGTTTGATCCGTGTGTCTACCAAAAGGGCTCTACAGTTGAAGATATGGTCTATCTACTCCTATATGTGGATGATATGTTAGTAGCTTCGAAGAGAAAAACCAAAGTTCAAGCCCTAAAGAAATTATTAAACTCGGAGTTCGAGATGAAGGACTTAGGTCCAGCTAGAAGAATTCTGGGTATGGACATCTTCAGGGACAGAGAAAAGGGTACATTGGTGCTATCTCAAGAGGGTTATCTACAACAGGTGCTTAAAACGTTTGGTATGTGGGATTGTAGAGAAGTTCAGACTCCTATAGGTTCACAGTTTAAACTAAAAGCAGTGGCTGATGAACAAGAGAGTGATCGAACAAGGGAAATGGAAGACATACCTTACGCAAGTGCTGTTGGGAGTCTGATGTACGCTATGGTAGGATCTAGACCAGATCTTGCCTACGCCGTGGGACTGGTGAGCAGATATATGGGAAGACCTGCGAGAGATCACTGGTTAGTGGTTCAGTGGATCATGAAGTATCTAAAGGGAGCCTCGGGGGTGTGCTTAACTTTCACAAAGGAGCCAGACTTCAAGATCAAGGGGTATTGCGACTCTGACTATGCTTCGGATCTAGACAGAAGGAGGTCCATCACTGGTTTCGTGTTCACCGTGGGAGGTAACACCGTGAGCTGGAGATCTTGCTTGCAGAAGGTGGTGGCCTTATCTACAACAGAAGCAGAATACATCTCGTTGTCAGAAGCTAGCAGAGAAGCAATATGGCTCAAAGGCATTTGCGAGGAAATGGGATTTAAACAGGATTCAGTGGAAATTCATTGCGATTCACAAAGTGCAATCTATCTAGCTAAAAATCACATGTTTCATGAAAGGACGAAACACATCCAGGTAAAGTATAACTATATCAGGGATGTCGTTGATTCAGGCGAAGTGAAGGTGATAAAGATTCACACGTCGGTGAACCTGGCTGATATGTTAACGAAGGTCTTACCTGGAGAGAAGTTCAGCGGCTGTTTGCGGTCGTTGAAGGTGATTGAAGCCTAAGGGCTTCGTCGGCGTCGTCATCTCAGGTGGCTGCAGAGGTGACGATTGAGTTCTGGTGTTCAGAGACTTGACATCAGGTGGAGCTTCATGGTGATTGAAATTGAAGCGGTGCAGCTACTTCTCAGGGATCGAGAAGGTTGGTGGTGGTGGATCAAGTCTGGATCCTCGCCGGATTCCAGGATCGGAGTTCAAGGTGCTTGTCGGGGGGGTTTCAACATGCAGAGGAAGAGCGAGTGAGAACCAAGGTGGAGTTTGTGACGATTGGTTCTAACTCGAGCTGTTCTCGTCTAAGTCCAAGACGGCGTCGTGTGGAGTGAGCTGAGCAGTTGGGCTTTAAGAGCTAAGCCCAAGTCGGTGAGAAGCATTATATCTGTTGAAGTGTTGGGTCGGTGAAATTAGTTAGGCCCAATAGTAGCATATATATGTGGATAAGGTAGAGAAAGGTTGTTACGGTCAACGTACCTTTCTTCTTCTTTGATCGGTTCTTAGACCTCCATTGTTGTAAGCTCTAAGCTCTGTAACTCTGTAAACACGAAGAAATAGTGAATTCTAGGAGTCAGATCCTGAAGAGAGATGTACCCGGTTTAGGGGAACTCTATAATCTCGTGTGTCACTTTCTTTCCTTGTGCGTGAAGTAATCAAACGAGTGAGAGAGAGCAAGAGAGTTGCGAGAGAGTGAGAGATCTTTACCTGATCCAAAAGAGAGAGATCGAAGTACGTATCGGCTACAGTAGCATCATAGCCAGCCGGAACCGGACAGCTGCCCATGTCCCAAAACACCCCCGTCTCCCAAGTCGCCTTCTCCATGAACCTAAAAAAATCGCAGTTTAATTAGGTCTTTGGTCCGGAACGGAAATTTCCTTCAACTTAGAATATACTTTATATACACGAAACCTATGGGCCTATTAATGGGCTATAAAACTGTGGGCCGATTCTCATGAAAATTCGAGACTCAGAGCTAACTTTAATTTTTTCTTTTGGTTAGATGATACGTTTCATCAAGCACATGTGTGGCCATATATGATTAGAAGATAGCGGTTACTTTTGATTCAAGCTAAGTGTAAACACTTCGATACCATTTCATGATTTAAACTAATTGAAGCTAAGTGTAAACTCTTCGATACCATTCATCAATCATCAACAATCACATGTTCATATGCTGATTTCGATTCACACACACACATATTAATAACATAACAAGAGTCTGAAACCGAACTTTCAAACCATGTCGGAAGCATCACCATAATCGATCCCATCTTCTTCTTGCCATCCGAATTTACAGACAAGACATGTTTGCTTGTAGACCGAGGAAAGGTGCAAGTGTTGGAAGTGTTTCTGAGGAGAGAGGAAGGCTAGAGTAAGCAATATGGTCTTAAACATTTGATCCTTTTTCTCCTTAGGCTTATATATAAAACCCCATTTCCTTATGCTTATGGTTAATGGTTGCAGAGATTTGAAGAAGCAGAGAGAGATCGCTGCAGCTGCTAAAGAGGATGATAAGAAAAAGAGAGAGGAAGCAAAAGCTGCTGCAGCTGCTAGGATTCAAGCTAAGCTAGACGCTAAGAAAGGTCAAGGCAAAGGAAAAGGCAAAGGCAAATCTAAATAAGTCTCAAAGCAAAGACAACCAAAGTGTAAACTCTTGGATACCATTTCATGATTTAGCTTTAAACTAACCAAACTGTTAAAAACTCATCATCAATCATCAACCATTACATGATCTGTTTGCCGTCTAAATTCTGCTGATTTAGATTCACACACGCATTAATAACATAACAAGAGTCTGAAACCAAACTTTTGAACCATGTCGGAAGCATCACCATCATCGACCCTGGTGTAAAACGAATCTCTGTATTGGATATGAATCCTTTGATGACCAATGGGTATCATTAATACATTTCTTTTATCGAATGTGACAATAATGTGACCCTGATGATAGCTTCAATTTCGATATTTTGATAATTCAATGGAAAACGTATCATTTGTTTGCTGTCACCGCAAATTATGACGATGACTATACTTCGGTATTCACAACGGCTAAGCAATATAATGATTTCCTATTGCAAAAGAAATTAATGCTTTTAAGTCAAAAACGTAGAAGAAATTACTGCCAACACAAAACGTCAATCACCTAGTTTAAATGGTAAAACCGTAAAAGTAAAATATAGTTTGGAAATAAGCACAAGTATAGTTAACCCAACATTTCCCGCTAGAAGAACCCAACATATAATTATCAGTCAACTCAAAACTTAAAAACGAGACTTGAAAAATAAGCATAAATATTAGTTAACTCAACATTTCATGCTACAAGTAGAACAAACCATATTCACCATATGAAATATATATCTTAAAGAAAGTAGCTATATTTGTAAGTCTTTTTTCTTTCTAGTCTTGTTCATGTTTCCGCTGAGATGCTAATTCGGCATTCTTTTTCAACTTCTCTAACATACTCATTCAAAGCAATTGTTTCTGAGAAATCATGTTTCTATTTATTTGCTCAAACTCATTAATGAAAAAACTGTATGAATAATGAAAAGATGATAATGACCATGGAACAAAACCTGTACAGATAATTATGGTAGAAACTAGATGATGCTAAAGGAAGATGTTATTAGGTTGAGAGGGATGTTCATTTGCTGGCGAGGAGAGAATGAAGAAGATGTTATTAGGTTGAGAAGGATGTTCCGTAATTCATTTGATGGAAGATTTGGTGACACTTTGGTACTCTTAATGTTAACAGATTCAACCATTATATTTATAGCCCAAGTCTAAGCAAACTGTATGTATGATAAGATGATAATGATCGTAGAAACAAAACCTATACAGATGATGATAATGATTATAGAAACTAGATGATGCTAAAAGAAAAAATACTGCTCACTTTAAAGATTTTTAAGACCTGTACGGATATGGCGGCTCAAGATAGAATGAAAAGATATTATTAGGTTACGGTGGTGGCTTAGTCTGTACACTTTCTTTTACTCTCTCTTAGTTTGTCACTCTTCTCTTTATACTCTTCTCTTTATACCGTTGTGTATCACAGTTTTTTAACGAGTTAGATTTATTATTCTTGACTGAGTTCTAATATTCATTTTTCAACTTTGTCGTTTTAAGTGGATATATAAAAAAAAAAACTTTCAATAAAATAAACCCAAAACATACACAAAACCATAACTAATTACTAATTAGACTTTATTTTGGGCTCACATTAATATGCTAGTTTGGGTAAAACTAAACACTAATTTTATTGTTCTACGTCGAGAAAATTTATTCTCGTTCTGCGGTTCTGCGGATACAGCATAATTTGTTCAGAGAAATGATCCAAAGTCCAACCGAACAGCCCCCACTCCCCCCCCCCCCCCCCCCCCCACCCCCACGACGACCAGACGGGAACATACAAATCACAAAGGTCTCGCCATCATAACCGAGAACGCAAATTTTCTTTAACTTTGAATGCTGTATATATATATACACGAAACCTATGGGCCTATTAATGGGCTATAAAGCTGTGGGCTAACGAACTCGGACTCTATGATATGATTACGCTTTCTAGTTGGTTTATACTTCATTAATAAACAACCTTATATAAAACAACTAGTATATGTGTCTTCTTCTTTAACAAAAGACATGTCACATGACGGAGGATGCAGACCGTGGTTAACACGCATGGACATCATGAGATAACATCAGTATCACAAGAAGAACCGACGAATGGTACTTTGATGTATTGCCTGAAGAAGCTACGAAGCAAGAGACCAGGGTGTATAAACTCTTCGATACCATTTCATGATTTAAACTAATCAAACTGTTAAAACTCATCATCAATCATCAACAATCACATGGTCATCTGCTGATTTCGATTCACACACACATTAATAACATAACATGAGTCCGAAACCGAACTTTCAAACCATGTCGGAAGCATCACCATCATCGATCACATCTTCTTGCCATCCTGAATGAGCTCTGAATTTACAGACAGGACATGTTCCTTGCTGTCTTAGCCACGGGTCGATACAGCCTGCATGAAACTGAACACATGCAGAGTCCGTGAGAGCCGATAAAATGCATAAGAGGGATATTTTATTTTTAGTTGAGAAGAGTAAAAATGAGAATACCTGATGCAAGCAAGGTAAGCTGCGAACAACTTCCCCTACGGTAACTTGTTCTAGGCAAACAGAGCAAGTGAGCTCGTCTTCTGTTCCTTTCTTACTTCCTTTTGTAGAATCTTGCTTCTTCTGCTTAGAATAAGAAGAAGAAAATTAAGATTCTATTAGCCACTTAGCAAGAAATATTAATCGAGTATTAACCAACTCTACTGTGATTTTTATGTTGAGAATATGTAGAATACCTCCGCTGAAGATGAGGTTGATGCCTGCTTTGCCAAAGAGCAACCACTGTGACACAAGCCGAAAACCATGAATATCAGATTTGAGCTAATTAGAAGATAGAACTGAGGAAAATGACTCAAAAAAATTAATGAACTTTAAGAAATCGATTGTAGAGTTTTGTGGTCAAACTGATTAAATCAATGAAGCGATGGGAAAACCGGAACCCATGAATATAACGATTCTATTGAAAGACAAATCTTTAGTAAGTAACTCAGTGGACAGGACAGTGAAACAAACCAGAACCCTTTCTGTTCATCTTCCTAACTTACTATTCTCCTTGTTTCTCAAAATTCCCAAATAAAACTTATAAAAGAGAGAGAAAAAGGGGGTATGTACAAACTTTACTCACTTTTCAGGATCCAACACCTTATACTTATGAACTGGAAGTGCATTTATCTCTTCCTCGCTCATAGAACTTGTGGGAACATTATCGGAATCAAGCGCCCTTAGAGTTTCATAATCTGCAAGAGAACAACTTTTTGCCTCAAGACTTAATCAATCAAAACCACACTACTAAACTGGAAGAAGAAGAAGAAAACGAGATACCAACTCATAAAGCTTTTACTAAGAAACCGAATTTTTCAACTGACCTAAGTCATCAAACTCCCGATCAAGAAGAGCCAGCTGGAGCCTAAGTCCCTGAAGACGCCCTCTCGTTGCAATGGCAACGGAAGGAGGCACGTGCAACCTGAGCTCAGTGTGATTGAAGAGGCCACTTGCAGCAGCAGCTTGAGCTTGAAGTTGTTGGCAAGTCGCATACATCCTAAGGGTCGTTGCCATCAAAAACACCCCAAGCACAAGCCAAAGCTACAATTTTTTTTGGTGTGAAAACAAATCAAAACTCTTATATACAAACCGAAAGAAAGAAAACGGCTTCTCATGTACATATGACATACCAGGAAATTAGGAGGCATCTGATGCGAATTGAGAATCATAAACAGCAGAAGAACTTCAATACACAAACCAAAACAGTTAATGCATTGCATAAGACACATAAAAAAAACAAGGACTTTATGTGTCTAAAAATTACCAGTAACCAGAAAAGCGAGGGAATTAGAATTCACTGGTCGAGCTCCATGAACACGCTGCCAAAAGAGAGATACAATTTCTTCAAAAAAATTCACATTTTGAGAAAGAAAAAAAATGTATGAAGAGGAAGCATATACCATAGCTCGTCTCTCGAATCCGCTTTCTAAATCTCCTCTACTTCCCCGGAAAACAAAGCTCATCTTTTTTTTCGCTGCAAACAAATTTGCTCTGACAATTGTTTATATTGAGCATGCAATTCAAAGGCAGAGGAGACAAATTGTCACTGAATCTATTCAGTTTCAGTCGAATTCGAATTCAAAAACCCTAACTAAAATACGAACTCGAGATCAACAGCAACAAAGAAGTGGCATGATTAACATTTACGATTGATCACGCATTTTTTTTTTCAAATCAATTAAAACGGAGAGGGTTCTTAATCGACGGAAATGAATGGAACGAGAGATCGGAGGAGGAAATCACCTTGGAGGTGGAGAATCTACAAAATCGGATTTACTGTGGTGATATAAGGTAACATCGGCGAGGGGACGACTGAGTCACGGAATCGCCGTCGGACCGAGCCGACTCGTTTTTTCCTTGTCCCGGCCCCCGACGATTGACGATTACAGTTTTTGTCTTCATCCACCAATTCTTTAAAGATAAGTGATGCACTAACTTAAACGTCGTCGTTTTCTGTTACCACTTGTCTGTCGTTTTCTCTTCTTGCACTATTCTTTTCAACTCGTGTCATGTCACCTGTTCATAAAGCTTTTTTTTCTTTTAAAGTTCTTTATACATCGTTACATGCTAGAGATTCGATTGAGAAGACAAACAGAACTTCGATTAACAATAGAAATGAAAGAGAAAAATTGGGAACGAACCATTATTTATATTTAATCTTTAAATAGTGTTGTTACATTTTTTTTTTGTCTTCATCCACCAATTCTTTAAAGATAAGTGATGCACTAACTTAAACGTCGTCGTTTTCTGTTACCACTTGTCTGTTTTTTTCTTTTCTTACACTATTCTTTTCAACTCGTGTCATGTCATCTGTTCATAAAGTTTTTTTTTTCTTTTAAAGTTCTTTATACATCGTTACATGCTAGAGATTCGATTGAGAAGACAAACAGAAACGATAGAAATGAAAGAGAAAAATTGGGAACGAACCATCTTTAAATAGTGTTGTTACATTTTTGCAATTATTCTAATTCGATAGGGAGAGGATCGATCGAGTAACCAATTGCAAATTTGCTACACAACATGTTGTCACAGATATGTCATCACATAGTTACGTTACTTTCACAAATCATTGACTATCACAAAGTTTTTTTTGTTCTACGACTACAAAGCCATCATTCGTTGCTAATTGATGAATTTGTATTGGTACTGTTAACTTTGTAAACCGCAACAAATATTTTTAAAGTCAAGTGAACAAATGAAACGTAAATAATCTAGTTATGTTTTAAACAGGCTCTCAAATCTATAACAAGACCGAAAATTGTGTTTCATGTTTGTTATACTACAACAACAGAAACATTTGTTGCTACTGATGAGCTCTTTTTCGAAACAAAGCTCATAGAATCAATTGAACAAGCGAAACGTAATAACTAACTCTAAACTTTCGATAGCGTAGTTAGCATAATTTGAATGTATCTAGATAGAGAATTATTATTTATTAATTGGGAGATATTTTTCAGTTGATAGTTATGTGGATAACAAAATAAAAAAAAATCAAAGTCGCGATCAAAGAAGTTGGCTCGCTTGATCACATTTGACGTCATTAGCAAATCCAACCTTTGTATGTGCAAGATCGTACTCCATCCACACGTTTTGCTGATGATAATTCCCAATTATAAACATTTCGATGCCCGCGAGTTCGGAGTTCCCGAATGTGAAGCAATACTTCTTGTCGGGTCCGGATCCGGGTACCGGGTACAACAGCTTCGGACCCGACACTATCAGCTCTGCGCCTTAACATCAAGGTAACCGCAGGCAATTCCGAAAAATCTGGCTGGTTCGACCCGACCCAAAAACAGAGATCCATAGCTCCTTGGAACACGAAACTTGGGTCAACTGTGAGAACCGATTTTGTTTGTTCGGTAAACTCGGTTTTCAGGATGTTGTAAACCGGGGCTAGCAGGAAGGTAAATTGCGTACCAGAATCCAACATCGTCTGACCCGCTCCGGAATGGTCTGGAGCAAAACCGGAGCTAGGAATGGGTAGCAATTTCGAACCGACCTGAATTCCTTCAAATTGAACCGTGTACGCAAACCGGTCCCAATAAGGTAACCGGTCCATTTTAGTTACCAGAGGAGAGTATTTGAGAGGTGGGAGCCAAGGGAAACTCGCGTCACCTAGAACCAAAACACCGGTAGAGTCAGAACCGGAGATACAGTAAGAGAATTTCGATAAACCCATCTGGTTAACAAACGATAACCGGCCCCGATTCATTCCCATTAAACCGGTGGTTTTAGCATCTTCCTCTGGTGTTGTGCTGGAGCTCAAGTCCATGCACCCGAATGACGTTGTGGGTCTGGTCCACGACCCGATTCCAAACGTCTCTTGAGCGAGGTTCCCCTCCATGGAGGAGCCATCGACGTAGGAGACAGCCACGTGGCAGAGATTAGCATTTTGATCACACGTGGCGGGAACGGTTAAGTCTTGGGTTTGGGTGGTGCAAACGGGAGAAGAACATGGTAGAGGAGAGTACGATGTGGATTTTGCGTGGTTGAAAATGGAGGTTAAGGCTGAGGATTGTTTGCAGTGGAGCCATGAGAGTTCGCTTCCGGTGTCGAGAACCATTATGATGGTCTGAGTAGGAGAACCGGCGGTGAGAGAGACGGTGAGTGTGGCATCGTGTGTGAGAGGAGTCTTGTTGATTGATGGAGAAGAAGAGAGACGACGTCGTTGAAAGAATGGTGAAGAAGAGTTACGGAGGTTTTGGGTAGCGAGAGAGAAAATGAGTGTTTGGTTTGTAGGAAATATTCTGCATAAAACGAGAGGGGAAATGATTAGAAGCAAAAATGTGAATTGGAGATGAATCGATGGTGAAGACATATTGTTTAACTTTGTTTTATTTGTTATGAGTCCATTTATCCCTATATTTATATTTGTGTGTATGTGTGTGTCTTTGGGTGAATTTCTTTCAAATATGGAAATGATATCATCACGAGGATGCAAAAATGCATTAAAAAGCGAAGGTTCAAATAAAAAATGCAATTAAACAGTTGAAGAAAATGAAACCCATAACTAAATCTTGGTAATGCTTAGAATCACGGAACCATATACGTGAGGTATACCAATAAAAGATTGTTTGAATTTGTAGTTAATAGATAACCCACTAAAAGATTTTTAAAAAGAAAACAGCACAAAATATTTAATATAAACACATTGCCAAGACGTTTGGCTCGTCATTAAATTTAGACAAGGTACCAACCTTAAGGTTGGGCTCGTCATTAAATTTTCGGTTTTTAAGAAAAAATCTGTTAGTTATAACTTTATAATTTATACAGACCACGATCAAATGAATCTTAATGAAAACAAATCTTGGATTAATTGATATCTCATGTTGAATAATAAGTGTTATGATAGATTTTGTTATGCATGGTAATCACTTAAACCACTAAGACCATGTGCAGACTAAAATTCTGAATTTAAGTATCTAAACATTAAAAATATCATTATTTTTTTCAAGATTTTTCAAAGAAAATGAACAAGTAATTAAATGACATATGTTAAAAAAAGTTAAAAATGGTTTCTTAAATTCTTCTTTCTTTTTTATGATTTTCAATTTTTTTTTAAATAATTTAATACTAAAATATTACTTAAGATACTTCCGTTAAACATGGAGCATTATCGTGTAAGAATGTTCACTTTGACGACGGACGAAAAAAACTCGAACAACTCAAACCCTTTAAGGAAGTTCATAGTTAATTGAAAAACCATTACATATAAATATTTTACATTTTTATCACTCAGATTGCTAAATTCATGTGAAATATTTTACTTCAAAACGTTTTAAAAGAAAAGGTACCCAAATCATAATGCCTTATCTCCCATCGGTTCTTGTTTTACCCGCGAATGAGAATATCGACGAAGTAGTAATCTCATTAGGTCCACTGTAAAACCTAGCTGAATCCACAAAATCCTCAAATTCGCCAGCAGCATTACCGCTTCCACCATCAAGACACATACTATCATTCGCATCTAGAAAATCCGGCGCGGGAATAACTTCCGGCGAAGGAGACTGCTTTTCGAGATACATAACCACTTGCCTCATCGTAGGTCGAACCTCGGGTGAATTGTTCGAGCAGAGAAGCCCTAGTTTGATCACCATAACAACTTCCTCCTCATCAAACTCACCGTTCAATCTCCTGTCCACGACATCTCTAATGTCTCCGCTCTGCCACCTTGACCAAACCCAATCAACCATCACAAGCTCTTCAGGCAACGCATTTGTCTCGATGGGCCTTCTCCCGCAAGCTACTTCCAATAGAAGCGCCCCAAACGCATAAACATCTGTGCATGTTGTTAGCTTTCCGGATTTGGTGAGTTCTGGTGCTAAGTACCCAAATGTACCAACCACTCTTGTAGTTCCAGGGTTTGATCCATGCTCATATAGCTTAGCAAGACCGAAATCTCCAACACGCCCGTTCATTTCTCCGTCTAACAAAACGTTTGCGGCTTTAATATCGCGGTGAATAACCGTTTGTTCCCATCCTTCGTGCAGGTAGAGTAAACCGGAAGCAACTCCTTTTATGATTTTGTATCTTTGCTTCCAAGTCAAGATAACTTTAGGGTTTTCATCGAACAAGTACATGTCCAAGCTTCCATTAGGCATGAAATCGTAGACCAGAAGCAAATCCTCTCGCCTCCGACACCAACCGAGCAACTGAACAAGATTCCTATGCCGGAGATGACCAATGCTCGAGACCTCAGACATGAATTCTCGTACGCCTTGTCTTGACTCGTGAGAGATTCGCTTGACGGCTACAAATTCGTCTGAATCCGGAAGCTTTCCTTTGTATACTTTCCCAAATCCTCCAGAGCCGAGAAGCTCCTTGTCACCGAAACCATTCGTAGCTTTCTTCAGATCTCTATAAGAGAATCTATGTGGACCAAAATCGAGCTCCCATTCTTCAACTCTGTCTTCATCTTTAGCCTTCTTTATACCAAACATCACCGCAGCGACAAGAGCCGCGATGATCAAGAGGGAACATGAGAGAGATACTCCGAGGATTAAACCGGGGCTCTTCTTCTTCTTGATTGAACGTGGAATCCTCGGGAGAGATTGCAAAGACAGAGACAAAGCTTCTCCACTCATGTTAAAGTTCCAACCTAAGATGTAATGAGAACTAGCTAGCAAACCGGTCGAAGCAGAGAATCCAACATACATTTCTTCTCCAAAAACAGAGGACAGATCTACATCGTAAGAGAGAAGACTCAGCTTTGGTTTGTCTGAGAATGGAGAAAGCTTAACATCTAACCTTTTCTTGAATGAATCATAATCAATCCAAGCCTGAATCACTCTACCACCGTCGAGGAAAAGCTCTTTTTTGGTTGAATTAGCAAGAAAATAGCCAGCAGGAGTCGAAGTACTCGACTCTATACTGTTTATATCGATTCCGACATGGTTATCATTTATATCATCAATCTCCAAATCCTTGACAGTATCGAATTCCACAGCGAAGAAGTGGCCGGAGAAGTTTACTTGGCTCGGATTCAAAAGGCCTAAGTACTGGCTATGTAGAGACCCTTTGAGATCTGGAGTTGGAGTGATGGCGAAGGCAAGTCCGTGGCCTCCAAGCGAGACGTACTCTGGAACCATGGCGATTACAAATGAGGTGGAGAAAGACAGGGCTCGGTTTTGACCGGTTTGCTTGAACCGGATCGGTAAGGAGTAGAAGGCGTGACCGAGCACTCGACTTGTGTCTGTTGTGAGCCTGATGGCTCCAGTGTTGGCGATCTCTGCAACTCCGGACATGGTTAGATTTGGAGATGCTTTTTTGAAGCCAACGAATGAGAATTCTTGAGTTAGAGATGAAACCAAGTGTGTGGAGAATATGAGGAGTAGCCAGATGAAGACAAAGATCTCCATCAACAATATTTTTTTTTTAAGCTTTAGATCCTCTGGAAATTGTTTTTCTTGTGTGATAAGTAAACTGAATAGTACTTGATGAGCTATTGGGGTTATAGTTCTAACATATGATCTATTGGGAAGAGGTAAGAAGATGGTGACGATAGTGAAGTTTAATGAAGCATGTGATGCTGAGAATGATGTTGGTGATACAGGAACATGTGCTTATTTCTAGATAGATTATGGTATTAAGGTATTCAGGATTTCAACGGGAAATTCAACTTACTCTATACAATTATACGATACGAGGTTAGTATATTAATTAATGTATCGACGTTGTTAATATCAGTCGAGATCGTCGGCATTGATTAGTTTAATCGTTGAGCAATGAGCATGTACGCATATTTTGTAATCAAACGATTAACAACTTTTTGACATGTGCATTTCTTATGTTATATGGCATTAACAATTAATTTCTGTGTTACGAATTAGTCTAAATAAATGCTTATTTTCTTCTTAGGTTTCTGTTTGACAATATATATAGGTCCCAAAAAAACATGCACGAAGTGAATTTTTTTTTTAACGTTTACGTATTAAATAGTTCTTACATTGTTTTTACAATTACATGCAATAAACGCCAACATAAAACACATACAAAAATAGATTATTAGATGGAACACCGAACACCCTAACTACAGCTTGAAATATGAAATTCTACACTAAATAGATCTGTTCTGTTCGAACTAGAAGTTTGTTTTGATTAGTCCTTCTTAAAAAAAAATAACAATCCCCCTCGTAAATATTATTCCCTCTATTTCATAATAAGTGTCATTTTGGGAAAATATATCTGCATTATAACTGGATGTATCTGGATGTGTTTTGAGGTTAATACATCCAGTTATAATGCAAATACATTTTCCCAAAATGACACTTATTATAAAACAGAGGGAATATATAGCATCAGTTCTACACAAAGTTATGACATCGTACTAATTTTCCATTTAAAACAAGTTTTATATCTAATTTTCCACAAAATGAAAGTTGAAAATTCAATTACACATAAAGTTATAATTAATTGTTAATCAAATTAAACATATACCATGATTTGGTCGGTTAACGATTTATCAATTTAGTCTTAACTAGAAGTTTGTTTTGATTAGTGTCTTCAAATTTATCTCTAACTAGTCAGGGAACCCCCAAAAGTAGAACATTTAAGAGTAAATGACTGAAAAAAAACAAACATCACTGATGATGTTATTAGAAATCTAAATTCCTCGGTTAGTCCTTTTAATTTTTATTAACATTAGTATCTGTGTGAGAAAGATATTCTTTAAAGAAACAAATGCAACAAAATAGAGAACTTACAATACGCACACAATTTTGTCGGGTGACTCCGAAGTTGTACACAGCCTGGCCCCTAATTAGTAACGGGGTCTCGCGGCACGAGGGACGAGACGATGTCTTGGGGCAAAGCCACTAAAACTAATACCAAGAAATAACTTTAACCACTCGATAAAATTCATAAAAAATAAATATGCTAAAGTAGGCACGAGTTTTTGTATAGATTGAATCGTGTAAACGATCCACTTGACAATGGAAATATTGGAATGTCCAGATGGAAAAATATAGATATATTCAAGTTCCGGAAACGTTGAAATATGAAAATATTCCTGGATAGGAAACAGAAAGTCAATAAATCAAATAATAAAGCTATTGAAAGAAAAATGGGATTAGGAGATAATAAGTCTATGTCACCGAGAGATTAACGGCTAAAAAGTTAAAGTCGTCCAAATCAAAAGAAATGGTTGTTGAAAATGAGAGCGGTTTAAAGTAAACCTAGACATTCGTGTAATCAGGTTGGTTCAATTTGGTTTTTTCGGATATGCAATTTTAAGAACTATGTGGAAACTTTTCGGTTCGATTCGATAATAAAATCGTGAATTCTTTACTTTATTTTGTTTACGCTAGAAAATAATGAAATTACGCTTTTAAAAAGTTGTCTGAAATGGAATATTGGCGGCAGAAAATTTGTATCGGTCAAGATCGGCTCACCAAACTTCTAATTATTTTGGCCAAATTAGGAAAAAGCAAACCGAGTGAATAATATTTTATCTAACAAAACTAAAGCAAAGTCAGTTGGTTTTACATGTTTCTTAAAACTGCAAAATTAAAAAACTGGACCATGAAAACTAGGTAGTGTGTTATGACTCGATTGGTATCACCTGCTCACTCTTTAGTGAGCGAGATTATTTTCTTGTATTTCACATTTGCGTGTTAATACAAGATGCTTTCATATATTCTAACAAAATATTTTTAACATGCACTTGCAAGCACACAAACACAAAATAAACAATTAATTATTAAACCGTGGCAACAATTTTCAACACATATATAACCTAAATCGTTGTTATAATAAAATCATCAAAGGAGTAAAAAGGTTGCCCAAATTTGTACTCACCCGTTAATACAAAATTGCTACGGAGTTGAGTTATAATGGGACCAAATCTTCCGTACTTCTATTTTTCATTTGCTTGTAGTGCAAGTGTAATATAAAAAATACTAAAAGGAGGAATATGTAAGACCAAAGACTATACAAAAAGATCCCAAAAAGGGAAAAATACCATTTTTATTAAAACCATAAAACCACCCTTTTTGGCAATGAAACCATGGGACCAAAAAAAACCAAAACACCAAAGAAATCATCACCTTTTATTGAAATTCCTCAGCTACCAAAACAGCTCTCACTAGAAGAGTAAACAACAAAACAAGTCTATTAAGCACATAACTAGTACCTCTTAAAACACTAACCGCCCCAACGCTAGAATCTAATTCTCGCATGCTCTTGTGTCCATAGTGTTAAAAAGCTTCAAAATCTAACAAATGCAAAGCTCTCTAAATCGCAACATATAACCATCGCCCTAACTAATTAACTATGTTCTACAACCCAAGAACAAGTAGAACAAAGTAATGGAAAGCGAGATACCTAAACCAAACTAACCAGCGTCTAACACGTGAGTTTCAAGTGCAAAGATATAAGAAATGAATCAAACAGCGAAGAAGAATAACACTTACCAACATTAAGAAAGGAACGAGACATAAATGCTTTCAATGTAGAAGCCACACACACCATTTCTCTTTTTAAGACATTCCTCCGGTTTTTCCACATCTTAAAGAAAGAAGAAGAACATCAAAACTTAAAGCCGATTCTGAAATCAGTTCAAAAGCTATCCGCGATCAAAATAATCAGTCAGAAAAACCAGTAACCACCGCCACAAACCATACAAAACAAACACTAGCTAAATCATTGTCATCCGATCACCCGCACAAAAAGGGAAACAAAAAAAAAAAACCTTGAGAGCTTAATAAACAAAAGCCTAATAACCATCCCTAAATAATTCAACAGATGGAAAATGTAATCATTCCAAGCTAAACGAACGCTCGCGACCATCGCCTATCTAAAAATTATCAATATGAAGGAGGAGCACGAGGCGGAGGAGCACCCCAAAACACGTCGTGTTGAGCCATTTGGTGACCATTCGGCATAAAATTAGGAGGCATATTATACATCGGCGGCGGCTGCTGCTGCTGCATAGACCCTTCGTTTCGATCATTCCCACTCTCATCATCATCGTTCTCCTTCTCCTTCTTCGCTTCTTCTTGCTGTGGTTGCTGCTGCAGCTGCTGCTCTTGTTGCTGTTCATCTTCAATCGGTAACCTCTCATAAGTAGCATTACAAAACGTTGCGGCAATCACAATAACCGGTCCAGAGGCGATAAGCGGTCCCGCGACTCCACCTCCCACGACTTGGCCTTGAGCTCCAGCTAAGTAAATGGTCAAGCCAGCGGCTGCAGCCGGAGAACCAGAAGTTGGAAGGAACGCACCGCACATAGACAAGATCTCGAACTGACCGCGAAGACTCACAACTCCTCCAGATGCAGCAGGCTGCCGCAGAGTCACGTTAGTCACCAGACCGCTACCGCTCAGAACGGAGACGCCTCTGCCGCGTCTACGAGCGAAGGCGTTTAGGCTTTCCGCCACGTCAGCGCCAGTGGCGATCTCGAGGACGTGGCTTTGCAGCGAGTTGGGGCTTTCTTTTGTGACAACCACCGGACTCTTTGGTTTGTTCTTGGAACCAGGAGGTCTCCCTCTCGGACGTCGACCCGTAGAAGCGGATCCGGATCCGGGTTCGACGGCGGGGAGCTCGTCTCGGCTATTCTGCTCCTCTTGGCTGTTCTGAGTCTGAGTCTGAGTCTGAGTGTTAGGGCTTCCACTGTTGTTGGTGAAGTCATGATCCAATCTTGGATCCGACCGGGTCATAGTCGGGTTACTGTTTCTGTGGTGCATAGACGGAGCTGATGACGTCACAGGACTCTCAACTCCTTCGATCGCAACATTCCCTACCCACCAAGGATTCGCCATTGATTTACCTTTCTCTTTTCTCCAAGAGAATATAGAATTTAAAAAAAAAAAGCTTTTTTTGTTCTTCTTTTGTTGTTGCGGCTCTCCGACAAGAAACTATTACAAGGGTGAAGGAGAGAATCCGAAAACCTTATCCTAAACTTTAGATTGCATCTTTAGTGACCAAATCGAAACCAACATGTTGCATGAAATAGACACAGAAGACATGGGACATCATTTGTTCTCTATCATACCTGAAGAAAAAGGACAAAAGAAAAGAATCAGATCTAAGCTAGAACAGCAAGAAAACGCAAAAAAAAATAAATAAAAAGTCCCGTAAAAGCTATCAGCAAATATCAAATAAGGAAAACCCAAACATAAAAACCTTAACTTTATTTTCCAATCGAATAAAAAATAGAAAACTTTATGTGATTGTTTAAAAGGAAGTTCCTTTAGATATTTCTCTGGTCGCTAATGAAAAAAAAAGGGTTAAATTAAAGGAGAAGAGAGGAGAAAATTGCCGTACCCAAAGAGAGAGAGACAGAGAGAGAAAGAACGAAGATTTGTTTCTGGGAAAAGATTTGTACTTGAAAGTCGTATAAAGCTCCTCTTTACCGTCTCTTTCTCTATTTCGTACTTTAGGAAAAAATATTGGAGTTGTGCGTACGTTAAAAGGACCGAAGGTAAAGAGGCGTACGATAAGGGATTGGGATGAAAATGAATTGAATTGAAATGATTTGATATATCGTGATTACGGTCACTGAAGCGGTCCTCTCTCTCTATCTATCGACCAGAGCCGTCCTTTTGGACCATTGAACTTTTAGGTGTTCGTGCAAAAGTTCGAGCGAGCTTCTCTAGACACGCCTTGTCTCTTCCTCTCTCTCTCTCTCTCACCACTAGCCCCTCTGGGCTGCTCACTTTTGTGGACCCATTCCTGAAATTACCTTATTACCCTTGACATCAGTTGTCAATTTTTAGATCCATATTTGGTAACAAGTTTTCTCGTTTGGTGGTGAAAAATTCAGCTTAGCAAACGAGAAGAACAAATGTTGACTTGACCTTGAATTATACTAGTCTTTTTTTTAAAATAAAGTTTGAAGTTTTGGTACAATCCGTATCTATTATGTAATAAAAACAGGCAGCATAATCCATATTACGTTTGACCTTATAAATATATTTAAGCTTTTCTGTTATAGTGAAACCGTTTTAATACGAGTTTAGTTGGTGGATTCTTATAAATATATTTAAGCTTGTTGACAAACAAAAGAAACAGTTGGTGGATGTGTTAATAAAAACGTAACGGCAATATGAAAGACTATTATATCCAATTGCAAGAAAAAAATAATATGAAAGACTATTGCAAATCCTAAATGTAAAGAGTACAAATATATATATCGTAAGATCCAAGTATGGTCTGATATTTTTTTTTTTTTTAAATTAACTTTCGTTGAAGTACAGTTTCGAATTTGGATAGAATGAAAGAGAGGTGTATCGTTTCGTTTGACTATCTGTAATAAATACAAAAGGATAAACCAATTATCTATCAGAAGCAAGAAAGAAAAAAAAAATTCATATACAAAAGGAGTAAATGCCAAAGGATTTAGAAACATTGAATTTGAGGAAGGATGACGACGATTTTGTTAAAAATTTCATATACCCCCATTACGAAATTTACATGTCCCGCTTGAGAAATTGGAATTTTAATATATTTTCTTTGACTATACTGTACATACGACCACCAAAAAATAGTAGTAATAAATTAGGTCTGATGTCAAAAAGAAAAATAGTATTACTATTTAATGAAGTGAATAAAAAGAAGGCCACCACCACCGGCCCCAATAGCCACTAGAATGGAACGTTACATTATATCGTATATTAAATTAATATACCTACCTCTACATGTCTATCATTTATGTACTTTATTTGGCACCATTTTAAAGTCACTATTGCAGATAAAATGAACATTCTAATTCTATGCATGATCAAAAGTTTTAGATTAGAAGTTCTATTGTTTCAAAATATTAATATATCCAGTATAAATATTTTGCCCAAATTAATCCAAAAAAAAACTTGGATATACTATTTTGATTCTTTATTTTTGATCAATTATTTTATGTTGGTCAACAAGAATTTGGAGTATTCAAAACATATATAATTACTTGATAAATGAGTACAAGTCAATTAAATGTGTTTTTTCTCTTAAAAACAAGAGTATCCTAATAAGGAACATCCTACGCCGTAATCAGTTAATCCTGCCATTTGAAATATGCCATTATGAGAAATTTTAACTAACTGTAATGGGCGACAAAACAAAAAATTAACTGTATAATGGTTTTTAAGTTCATTACGTTGGTGGGTCTGGTGGACTATATTATGCTTCTCGGGCCTTGCGTTAGTGTGGCCTCAAACCCAAAATAACTAGTCCCTATTTTAATTGAAACTTCAGTGTGTGTTTTTGTGTGAAAGGATGAGGGAGACAAAGCTTGAACTAGTTACTTTGAAGACAATTACATTAATCTTAAATTAGAGGTTTTCTCGTAGCAGATCGAGTGCTTCTATCCAAATATGAGAGTGATAGAAGATTTCGAATTTATATTTTGTTTACATAATGCAATACAATACCATTTCACTTATATGTGCCTTGTGCCTTGTTTTATCTGGTTCCATAACATTGCTATATATATATATGAAACGCCTGATTTACATATGTTTCTTTATTACTCAACATCATTAATCGTAGCATAGCATAAACTTAGTAGTTGTTAACCTCGTGCAGAGCTGATTTTTGTATCTTTCTTCAGTTTGAAGTTGATGACTTATTGACTTTGTCTTGTTAAAGCTTTGGATTATGAGATGAAATCCAAAGGAAAGCTCCAATAGCAAAGTCTCGCTTGTGAGCCAAGTCACCGTAAGTAGACAAACCGTAATCTGCTAAAACCCTGTCGAGTTTCCACTCTGGCATGCCTTGATAATCTTCTTTGGAGTATCTCGGGTAGTGAAGAGGCATCTGAAACACACTTGCTTCATCGTTCTTGCGATTTCCTACATCCATAATATAACTGTATAACGAAGATATATATTTCTTTTTTAATGTACGTTTTGCTTCTGATGTGGCAACTATATGCATGTATATATGATTTATGGAGGCTTAATTATTATATATAGATGTTGAAAGTGATGGCTTACACACTTTACGTGTGAGTTTTTGTCACACGGATTTGTTTGTTTACCTTCTTCATCGCATTTGCTAAACGCATGAACATGTGGATGGACACATAACACATTAATATTGGATTATTTGGATGAGTCAGGTAACTCACACGTACGGATTGAATTATATTGGAATAAAATTTGAATTGTCAATAAATACGTTCTTTCTAAATTTCTATATTAATGTAGTCAAATATCTATAGTATTAAGACTACACACAATCTATTGTTAATCATTTTATTACCTTCGTATACACATGTTTTCTCTTACACTCAAAAGCTTGAAAAATAAAACATCAATATGAGATATGTTTGATCTCGATTACTCATAATTAGTTATACCAATATATGTTTATGGCATCTGGATGCGTTATTTATATATCTTGTTAAAAGTCAGAGGTAATAATTCAAAGGAATTTTTTTTGCTACTTACTCTAGATATAGTTAATTATTCTTATATGTTAATTTGGAGTTTTCTCTTACACGTAATCAAACATGTTTTCTCTAAATAATATTTATTTTACACTGAAAATGTTTGAAAAGAACAATCAAACAAAACCGAATCAAGAAAGCGAAGATATATATATGTCGACCAAAATTAAGTTTTTGGCTATTTCTTTATTTACTTTCACTTAACCAGTAATAAATTATATATAACGGTACGTAACACTCTGAATATCTGATAGAAGTACCATTCTCCACTTTTTCACTATCTCTTGTTTGTAAGAATCCATGATGTTTCGAACATCTTGTATCATTTTCCTATTTAAAGAAAGAAAGCCAAAAAATAAAACATATTTTATCTGCTAAATTTAGCCTGTTTGGGTTGTGTTACTCTTTAGCGGAATTTTCCCTCTTGGCTTCTTGCGATATAGTTTGTACATTTGGTTAGGTGACTTAGGTCTTCTCTCTTGAATAATATAAATCATAGTTGACGACAAAAAATAATAGTTATGTGTTAATTTATAATTTCATCGGTAATTAAACATTATATTGAAACATTTGGATACATACACACACACAAAAAAAGAATTCTTTCTCACATCTTGCATATGTGTTACAAAAAGAAAAGAAGACATCATCGACAAAATGCTCAGGTTCTTACAGGTCCCACATGGTGACTCACTTCGTCTAAGAGCCTGCGACGTGTCATCACAAATCATTGAACCAACCCCACTGGCTAATTTGGCCGACGTATGTTATCAGGTTATGGACCAAAACCACACTTCCGCTTCCAGAAACTTCGTCGCAAACTCGTGGCTTAGATTTCGTCAGAAAAATTGTGGTTCATATGTCGCCACGTGTATGGCCACCCCCACGTGATATATCCTACGTGGCTACTCTCGTTTTCCAAATAATGATACGTTTCCGCGTTTTTTGGAAGATTTCTAAACCACCTAAAACTTGTTGCTACTTTCGTAACTCGCCCCTATAATTTGATCCACGTATAAACTCTCCATCGTCCTTCCTTGTTCATCATTCGTCAGTATAACAAGGGTCGTGTCTAAAAACACTTTCTAAATGGAAACCTATATTAAGAAATATATTATAAATTGATTTTACAAAATTGAATTTCAAGTAAAACTTTGGTCCACACACTCCATAGAGATAGTTATTTGGTTTACATATATCCCAAGATATATTCCAAAGCGATATTTACTTGGCTCCCATATTTTCCCAAGATATTTAAAAAGATATTTCAAATTTTTCTCCACCAAAAGCTAAAACTTTGTGAGGATTCCAATTTTCCCTATAATAAATTTAGATAGAAAAATAATCTTACTTTCTGAATCGATTGTTATACAAGTGAACAGAAGTAATTATCATATCATAATTCAAACCCAATCACCTTTTTGTTGCTGTTGTTAAACTTAAAATTTCAGGATTTTAATAGAGCTTAAACTAAAATTCAGTAATATATGTAGGTATCAATGGAGAAAATTAGTCTTTAGAGGAAAAATGACATGACATGTAGTCAAACCATCTTTATACATGTACATTTGATTGTTTCTCTATGTGGATATTAGTTTTGAAACATTTTTCTCCTACTTTTGCCTCCCCTAAATCGTAGAAATTTGGATTTAGAGGTTAGGGACTTGGGACTTAATTAGTTCATCTTTTTTTACCAAGGAGGGGCCATTTCTTCAAGAAAAGAAATGTAGGGATCAAATCGAAGATTCTTAAAATTAAAAGGTTTATTTAGAAATACAGCCTTTTTCTCTCTCGCACAAAAAAAAGCCCATCAACCTCTCGCGTCTATACATACATAGTACATACACGTCAACCTCTCTGAAAACTGCATTTTTCAATTCCTTTGTTGTTTCTTTCTGCTTTCTTCGTCAAGTTTAAATAACCGAAATGAATGGCGAGGGAAAATCGGAGACTGGAGCTAGCGCCGCCGCACCAGAGGAGGACGAGGAGGAAGTAGGCCAGAGAGTGGTGTACATGTGGGGCTACTTGCCCGGAGCCTCCCCGCAGCGGTCGCCTCTGTTGTCTCCGGTCGTGGTGAAGATTCCGCCGGCAGTCGAAAGCTCCTGGAAAGATGTCTCCGGCGGAGGATGCGGTTTCGCAATGGCTACCGCAGGTTATCTCTCTCAATCTATTAGGTTTCCTGGAGAATTCGTCCTCTCAGAAAACGATTTTCAATCGAAGTCCACATACTCAAAATTCCTTTCGTTTATCACAATGTGTCTGATGTAGAAATATTCAAATCAAAAATCGCAATGAAAATGGTAGTGTATTTGATTGATTGAACATGGTTTTGTTATGTTAATCAGAATCTGGGAAGCTGATTACATGGGGTTCGACAGATGATCTAGGTCAAAGCTATGTCACATCCGGGAAGCACGGGGTAAGCTCGACTAAGACTAACCTTTCTTTCTGCGTTGTGTGAATTTGAAATCTATGTGACAGTCTTCTTAATTGAGTTACACTTTATGAGCTCATAGGAAACTCCAGAGCCATTTCCTCTTCCTCCGGATGTTTGTGTACAGGAAGCTGAGGCCGGATGGGCTCATTGCGTGGCAGTTACAGGTGTGTTTTCATGATCTGAGTTTAGCTTTGACCTCATTTGTTTTGGAAGTTCGTAACTTCATTGTTATAGAGATCTCTTTTGGATACAGAGAACCATGAGGTTTATACTTGGGGATGGAGGGAGTGTATACCCACTGGGAGAGTATTCGGGCAAGTAGAGGGAGATTCAGGTGAAAGAAACATTTCCTTCTCAGCAGAGCAAGGTGAATCTTTTCTCTTCATTGTGAGAAAAAGCTCTAAAATTTATGTGTTTCTTTTTACATGGATGATGAATGTGAAAGGATGGTGTGTCTCTTTTGCAGTGAGCCCCAGTTCTCAAGGGAAGAAATCTAGCGGTGGAACGTCTTCTCAAGGAGAATCAACAAAGAAGAGGCGGATTTCGTCGTCAAAGCAAGCTGCTGAGAATTCATCACAGTCCGAGAACAACAACGACCTCTCGGCATTGCCTTGCCTTGTATCGTTGGCTCCAGGAGTTAGGATTGTCAGTGTTGCTGCTGGTGGACGTCATACCCTAGCATTGTCAGGTTAGATTTTTCAGCTTCTTAACACCAATCAGTCACGGTATCTCCATTAAGCTGTAAGAGCTTGTGGTGTGCTATGATAAAAGCACTTGATGTATCCTAATTTTCTCTGAAAGTCCAGATATTGGACAGGTGTGGGGTTGGGGTTATGGAGGAGAAGGACAGCTTGGATTGGGATCCCGTGTACGTCTAGTCTCCTCTCCTCATCCTATTCCGTGCATTGAGCCTTCTTCTTATGGAAAAGGAAGTTCCGTGGCTGTTTCTGGTGCAAACATGAGTTCAGAAGTACAATGCGGACGAGTTCTTGGAAGTTATGTAAAAAGAATTGCATGTGGAGGGCGACACAGTGCTGTTATCACAGGTATTGTTCTCAATATATTGCTTTTGCGGCTAGACTTCTATTTGATAAGTGAGCATAAGTGTTTAAATCCATCACCTGAAAACTACGCGTTTCAACCTTATATCAACTCTGTATTAAATTTAATCTCCTTACTGCACTATTCCTTAGTTAATGTTTACTTGTTTTGAGGCTTCTCTGGAGTCCTTCATGAATAGACCCCAAAAATTCTCGACCCTTTAACCGGGAAAAGATTGATCTATGTTATCTAAGGATTTTTCAGATTAACAATTGCGTTTACTAAGAACGAGTTGTAACTATCTTTTTATGGACAGATACTGGAGCTCTCCTTACATTTGGTTGGGGACTTTACGGACAGGTGAGCACGAAAGATTCTTGGCTCTCTGTATTAAACATATGCTTCATTGTTCAGGAAAGATAATCATCATTGTGTTGAACTGGTTGGGAGCTTGTCAAAAAGATCTCTTTGTATATATCAAAACATAGATTCAATCTAAGGTTCGGGTTTTATAAATGATTTAATTGGGGAAAAAAGCCAGTCTGCATTGAAGATATAAAAGGCTGCAAACGATAAACTGACAATCTCTCTTGCTTGACTTTTGCAACTAGTTTCTGCACTTTGTTCTGTTATATGAATCTTAAGAATATTTTGTTTTATTTTCGCTCTGTGAAGTGTGGCCAAGGGAGCACAGATGACGAACTAAGTCCTACATGTGTATCGTCTTTGTTGGGAATCCGAATAGAAGGAGTGGCTGCAGGACTATGGCACACAGTCTGCGTTTCATCTGACGGTGATGTGTATTCGTTTGGTGGAAACCAATTTGGCCAGTTAGGTACTGGCTGTGATCAAGCTGAGGTAGAATCTTTTTTAACTATATTGTTTTACTAATTTTTGATTGTTTATGAAGAAGGGCCCTTCCATTAAACTTGAAAGCCAATTTTGATAATTTCAGACTCTTCCAAAATTACTGGAGGCTCCGAATTTGGAAAACGTGAACGTAAAAACCATCTCTTGCGGCGCTCGTCACACAGCTGTAATCGCAGGTATCCATTATCACCAAAATACCACTTTTAGTTAAAGCTTGGAAACAGATTCATCTCAAGACTAAAAACTGCATTGTCTTTTATGATTTGTTGCAGATGAAGGGAAAGTATTCTGCTGGGGATGGAACAAATACGGACAGGTAAAAAAAAACTGTTTGCTTTTGGTTCCATTTTAGTTTTACTAACGAAAGACAGTTTTGGTTGTGTGTGTGTGTGTGTGTGAAACAGTTGGGACTAGGGGATGTGATAGATCGGAATGCTCCTTCAGAGGTTAGAATCAAAGATTGCTTCCCGAAAAACATTGCGTGTGGTTGGTGGCATACTCTGCTTCTAGGCCAATCTTCTCTCTGAATGTGCCCACACAAGGAAACACAATCAACACCAAATTTTTGTTAGGGCTTTAGAGCAAAGTTCAGATTTCATTTTTTCTAGACCCCCTTTTTTTTTTAATGTATACATAGACATAGTATTGTACATACACGAGCGGCATCTTATTATATATACAATGTAAGGCTGAGTTGCTCAGCTTTTGTTTCTTCTGATTTAGCTTAACTTTAAAAAAGAGCCGAACCGAAAGTCTCAAAGTAAACTATTGGTTTTTGTTTCTTGCTTGATCAAGTTGTACAAAGGTGGAAATAGATAAATTGGAAATGTATTGCACCAAATGTAAAGGAATCTGAAAATGCAGGGAGTTGATTTTAAGTACTCCAAAGATAGTGGTTCAAGTGAATCCTAGTAGAAGCATCTAAAGCGCTTTTTTTAAATTACTTATTTATTCCCAACCGTTGGATCTTCGCCATCTTTTAGCTTCAAAGCAAGGCAAAAGCACCCTCAATAACCAAATTTTTCATGTTTGTACTATCTTTAGTTTGATCCAACCGAAACCTATGATTATCTTTTAAACATCTGAAACATATGATGTATATGAATATATCTATTTTAGTATCATTGTTCAAAATCGAAAATTTAAGACGGAAATAGCTTTAAAAAAAAAGAAGAAGAGCATTTACCTCAATTCAAAATTCTGTTTTAACTTATAACACTTGTTTGGGGTTTTCAGTCACCTCCGTTTTTTTTGCCACATATGGTTAGGGTATCTCTGATTTCGGTTCTAAAGTACTAAACCACCGGTTTAGAAGATTGGTTTCTAATCAAACGAAACCAAAGCCAATAACCGAATATGATGACGTGTTTTTTTTACCCGAGTTGTTTGGTCTCGGCAATAGTTATGTATGTATGTTAGCTTTCTTCTCCCTCATAGCGAATCGCGACGATTAAGGTTTGGCGCCTGAAAGGTGTTTGACGAATTGTCTGAAACACTTTTAAATCCTTTCTTCCCCGATCTGAACAAGGTCTCAAAGCTCATCCTTTTTTCTCTTAATTTTGTTTCCTGAAATTAGTATCGTTCAATCTGAGATTTCGGTGAAAATCAGATTGTTTCGATTCGGAACTGTGATTTAGCGATTACTGCCGCAAATCGATTGATCTCTCTTTTTCCTTCTTTTAAAATTCATTCTGAATGTGCGAAATTCAGGTAAGTGATGATGGGAATCAGCAAAACAGAAATCAATTTGCGGAGATTGCTTTCCGCTGCACCTAATCAGCAAAATCAATCAAAGCTAATGCACGTACGTCTCTTGGCCTCTTCATATTAGTTATTGTTATTTTGTGCTTTATAATCCTCGAAGCTAATGGTAATTTTGATGTTCATGTATTGGAACATATCTCTGCAGTATGTTGCTACTCTAAGGGAACAATTAGAACAACTCTCGGAAGAGAAAACCCCTGAAGGCCTTCCCAGGTTTACTTACTCTCTGAATCTGATTCACATCTATCAAACATCAATGATGTTGATATCACGGTTTTGTTCAAAAGATTCCTTCTTTCGAATTTGAATGTGGATGAGAGCTATGTCTTGGTTTGGTTTGGCTTTTCATTAGGAGAATGTGCTTATCTTTGTCTTTTGATATCATTTTCCAGAGTTACAAAGGCTAAGGTGAATGAGTACTATGAGAAGATTGAAGCTGTTGCTTCAAGAATATCTACTCAAGTAGTAAGACTCCTAAACTAGAAAGATACTATTTTTCTTTTTTTAGAATTCTGTGCTTTCCTGTTTACTTCCCCCTTTTGCTAGATGCATTTGGTCTGAGGAACTGTTTGAAGTTTCTACCTAACTTCGCCATGGGTTTAGTTTCAGGAATGCATAGTTTTGATTTGTTCTGTTGGTAGAAGCTTCTGAGTTTTACTTGTGGAACCAATACCAAATTATTGATTTTTTTTTGTGTGTGTGCCAAATTAACAGCCTGACACAGAGGTATCTGATGAACCTTTTGCAAAGGATTCTACTAGCGGAAGCTCTCCAAAGATGGAAGACGCTACTCAAAGCCCCACTTCTCCACAGCTGAGAAGAAGATTCGTGTTAGTGGAAGGAATACTTGATTCGCATTCTTCAAAACTTCTCAACTTTTACCAGCTTTCTTGATTGATGTATAGGTCTACAAGCTCCAAGGAGCAAAGCCATGATGCTGTTGATGCTGATCCATCAAAAACAATAAAACTAGACAATGCTGCTCAAGCACACATTGAAAAGCACAGGTAGTTTCATAGCTCATCTGATTATGTACGCTCTCTGTGATAAAAAAAAAAAAAACAAAACTTGATCGCTGATGAGTGAAGCTGTATTCTCTTGAACTTTAAGTTGGATATTTCGATTTCATGCCACATTGGTCAATCTTTGATGACAGGAAGCTTCAAGATGACCTCACCGATGAAATGGTGACACTTGCGAGACAACTCAAGGAGAGTAGTCTAATGATAAGCCAATCTGTCCAAAACACAGAGAAGGTTAGATGCTAACTTTTTTCCTCACAGAACCCAATCATTATTACTTTTTATTCATCGGTCTTAACATGTAGTTTGTTGTCTGTGTGGTGGTATGCATCAACAACAAAAGATACTAGACTCAACCGAGGTGGCCATTGAGCAGAGCTTAGCGAGCACGGGACACGCAAATGTCAGGGCCTCGCAGATATATTCAAAAAGTTCAAAGACGAGTTGTTTCCAGTGGCTCTTGATCTTGGCCATGACCTGTGTGTTCATAATGGTTGTCCTGTTGATCCGAGTCACCTAGAACATTTGGCTCCTAGTGTAAAACCAAATTTCAGTCTCTTTATTATTCACTTGGTAAAGTTATTGCGACTTTTGTAAATTCTGAGCTGGAGATGTTACCGGAGCTACTTTGTTAAAGATGAAAAAGGTTTTTAAGCAGTTTAAATAGGAACATGACACTAGAAAGTGGAAACTGAACACTGAGAACCTTATTTGACTACCGGTTTAGATGGAAGTCCGGTACGGATCTGTGCAAATCAAAGTCATTCAAAATGTCTTATTTGGTTAAGACTTAAGAGTTAAAACCCTAAAGGAAAGGGCCAAAGGCAAAAACCCTGAAGAGAGAACAAGTTTCTTCTTGTAATCGATCGCCATGGTTTTCGCCTGGTGCATCCGCAGGTCAGCTTCTAGTTTGGCTTCCGTGTGTGGTCGCGTGGCTCGAGCCCAGGCCGTCTCCGTCGTCGTCAATCGCTCGGCTCTTGTTCCCAGGCCATCATCTTCTCTGCTTCGTCCTTTCGTAACTCGTGGCCTTCTTTATTCGACTGCTACGGAGAGGTTAAAGTCCGATCAGACGCTTCTCCAAGTGATTGACTCCGAGATCAACGATGCTTTCGAAGCCGATGATAACGATGAGGTAAAATATAAACCCTCGTTTTCCATTTTCCTAAGCTCACTTGATTTACTGGAAACATTCGAGAGAATTGCAAACGCAAATGTTGAAAATTCGGCTGATTTCATAGGATTTATCGGTTGAATTTAGCTGGGGAATTGCAAATGTTTGATTTTTTTTCACGAAGTTTCGAAATTTCGATCAAATCAAAAGCAGGTTTCATAAAAAATCGCAAGAATTGGTTTTTCTGGTTTTGCAGGGTGAAGAAGAGACAGTAGCTTCTGGTGAGTTTCCTTTCAGAATCGAAGACAATCCTGGACACAGGTCTGTGACGCTGACCAGAGAGTACAACGGAGAGCAGATTAGAGTAGAAGTAAGCATGCCTGGTCTTTCCATGGACGAGGACGAGGATGATGTGGATGACAAAGAAGATGGTGATGGTCGTAATGAGAAGCTGAATGAAACAAGCATTCCTCTAGTTGTCACTGTGACCAAGAAGAGTGGACTGAGCCTAGAGTTTAGCTGCACTGCTTTCCCCGATGAGATCGTCATTGATGGTTTGTCTGTGAACAATCCTGAGAACTCTTCTTCCTCTTCTTCGGAAGAACAACAATTGGCATACGATGGGCCTGATTTTCAGTAAGCTAGCATGTTTATCCCAAGTGCTTTGATCTTGATGATCAGAGAACCTAAGATGTTGTTTCTTGTTTTCTTGACTTATGCAGAGAATTGGATGAGAATATGCGCAAGTCGTTCCACAAGTTTCTGGAGACGAGAGGGATAAAACCAAGCGCGACGGATTTCATGTATGAGTACATGATGAAGAAAGATAGCAGAGAGTACCTATTGTGGTTGAAGAATCTCAAAAACTTCATCCAAGAATGAAATCAAGTCACACTTTAGAAGTTTAAATCTTTTATGGCTTCTTGTAATGACTTTTGAGTTCGTATTGGGGCCGTTTTGAATGTGAAATCTGAATTGGAGTCATTGTTATCTTCTTTTGCATTTGCAAGGCAGAATGTTAAAAGTAGAAATGTCAAAATTAAGGACTTGTGTGGGCTTGTTAACGAGTCTTTGACATGAAGAGAGAGGGCTAATAATACACTTTACCAAAGACCACAGACACAAAGGTACAGGGATCTTAGTATGTTGATGCAATCCACAAGAAACAATCCTAATTAAACAAAAAATAAGGAAAAAGACTTCAATCATATAACAAAATGTAATATGACATTTGCACTAAAATGTAATGTTTACTTTGTTTGGTTAAGAGTAGTGTTTATCTTAAAAAAAGAGTTAAAACCTTTAAGGAAAGGCCCAAAGCAAAACCCGAAGGGAAGAGAGAATCAGTATCTTTCACTCGCCAAGGCTTTACTATGACAGAGAAGAGTGTACGCATCGTGAAATGGGTGAGAGTGCCAAAAAACTTCATACAAGAATGAATGAAGAAGACACACTAAGAAGACTAGTTTTTTTATGGTTGCAGGTTTTTCTTGTAATGACTTCTAACTTTGACATTGGGTTTTGGAATGTGAAATACGAATTTGGATCATTGGTATCTTCTTTCTGCATTGGAGAATGATAAAAAAAATATAGAAAAGTTATTAAAGACTGTGTGGCAGGCGTATAATGAGGTTTTGGCATGAAGAGAAAAGCTAATAACACTTTTACTATTATCAAAGACCACAAAAGGTACAGGGATCTTCTTATGTTGATGCAATCCACAAGGAACACTAAATCCTAATTAATCCCAAAAAAAAACTTCAATCATAGTAGTAACATATACTATGACATTAGCGCTCAGAGAGAGAACTAAAGATGCCCATTCTCCACTGCATCTGTCCTTTCGAAGACAGGAAGGTCCTTATGGGTGTAAACAACACCATTGTCTCCATCCACAACTTGTCCTTTTCCTCTCATTATCCTGTCAATTCACCACCACAAACCATTCAAACCTCACAGTTTTTTTTACACACCAATGAACAGAGTAAAGACAAAAAGAAATTCATTAGTACCATCTCGTTGTCAATAATCCTTCGACTCCAACTGGACCACGGGCATGGATCCTGCTTGTGCTTATCCCAACCTATATACATAAGAGCATGCCACAGTGACCATTCATTCGCTCTTCTCAATTCATTTGTTATCTATACATGTGATACTATATGTCTCTCTTTTGTACCTCAGCACCAAGTCCGAATCGAAAACCATCACAGAATCTAGTGCTCGCATTGTGCAAAACAGCAGCACTGTCAATTGTTTAAGAGTTTAGTTTCTGATATATTCAACCTCAAACCATATTTTCTATGGACAATCAAAAAGATGAGTACCTGTCCACTTGGCGGAGGAAGATCTCTGCGACTTCGCTATCTTCTGTCACTATGCAATCAGTGTGTGCACTGCTCTCACAAGACAGACAAAGAAAAAAGTGACCACACTTATTTTCAGCACATGCAAAGAATACAGAGAGTGGTAGGCCCTTTGAAAATTTTGTCATTTTATAAAGTTGGAATCAGCAATAATTTTACCTTCCATGTTGGTGAATATGATCTATAGCACCGTGTACGTCTTCTACTATTTCAACGGTGCAGGCCTTGGAACTGTACTCGTGATGAAATGATTTCGTTTCCGGAATGTTCAGTTTAGCACTTGCTCTTGGCCCACCATACAAAGTGACGCCTGCAATTTGACACGTGCACATCAAACAAAAGTCTCCAATGAAAATAGTCAACAAACTAGATCCTATCTTATTTTTAGTCTTTATGGTTTGGAACACTCGCAGTTCCATGATTAAAGACAACTAAACAGTTGTATGGCTATGAAACATCAGAATGAAACAATTGATTTTGATAGATCCAATAAAACACTACTCATTTTCTCAAATAGCTATTCTTACCGTTGGTTTGCAGAGCAAAGATAAGCTCATTGAGCACACCATTCTGCTCCAAATCCTTATGTACAAGAAGGGTTTCCTGTCGGGTAAAGTGAAACGGAAAGTAATAAGTTAACCAAAACGAAATCACACTGCATAAGTGAGCAGTACTGAAGGAGGTAAGAGTGTCTAACCATCGCATTACAGGCTGCTGGATAGTCCAACTTTGCATCGGAAATGACGCGCTTTGCCATGTCCAGTTTACAAGACTTATCAACATAAACATGACAGATACCATCTGGAAACACCGAAACAATTAGACATGTTCTCTCTAGGCCAAACCAACTTATGAACTTAATGGAACTGAACTTCTAAACGTACCAGCATGCCCTAGCACTGGGATTTTCGTTGAGTTTTTAATCTGAGAAACGAGCTTGTTGCTGCCTCTTGGGATCACAAGGTCAATAACATCATCAAGCTGTAGGATAAATGCAAATGGTGGGTTCCAGATTAAGCAAAAAGTGCTAATCGTTTCTGGCGACTTGCCATTCATATAGCTACGTACCTTGAGCAAATCAGGAATCTCCTCTCTCGAAGTCACAAGTCCTATGAGTTTACCTCCAACAGTCTTCGGAATTGCGTCAGTGATCACCTACAGTTTTACCATGAATTTCATAAATTAGTCAGACATATTTTGGGAAGCAAGATAATGACTACAATGGAGTTTACTCCAATCTATGAAATATGAAGTCGATGTACCTTGTGTAAGATAGCATTTGATCGACGAGCTTCTTTTCCACCCTTCAGCAGAAGACCATTTCCACTCCTGATTGCAAGTGAAGCTATCTGTTTGATTCATTGATAGAGAACGGTGTTCAGCTATCAGAACTTACATCTAAGACCATAATGGACAATGACCCGTGACATACCTGAACAAGTGCATCCGGCCGGGATTCAAAAACAATCAGAAGAACACCTAATGGTGATGAGGTCTTCTCTAAAATAAGACCATCTGCAATCTGTTGCATACAAAAATTGTCAAAAATAATATGGATTAGACAAATTTTGCATATTAATAGGAGGAAACATTACACCAAATAAGGTAATTCCTGCCCTGTATTTGAATCATAGTTTGAATATTTATGATATAAGATTACCTCGGTTTTCTTTAAAACACGGCCGATTGGATCTTCCATTTCGGCTAGCTGGCGAATGGAAGCTGCGAGGCTTGAGATCTATTAAGCACAAAACAATGTATAAGTATAAATAAATAAGCCATAGGAAGGTAATAACATAATTGGTGCAGTAGATTTAGTCAATAGTCACACAGTGAATACTGTCTTACCTTCCCAGGCTTCATAGCTAAGCGAGCTACCAAAGACTCTTCGTATCCAGCTTCTTGTGCTGCAGCAACATCGAAATCATTCTCAGTTTTAATTATTTTCTCGTTTGCTTCCAGGGCGTTGGCAATATCGAGTAGAATGTTTTTCCTATCTTCTGAAGACAAGGCCTGTAAGATAATTGCAAACAGGTTAATACACACAAAAAATTTGAGTTGACAATTTGAGTACACTTGCATCGAAGCCTGAACGTTACCTGAAGCTTTCTAGAACTTTCCCTTGCAGCAACTGCCATGTCACGAGAAGTAGTATCTACGACCGGAGCCCACAAATGAGAATCTTGGTGAAACAGGGTACCAACACACAGTCCTCTAAGGACTTTAGCTATATTGTCAGCTGCATAGCCACTTCAAAAAGAAAATAGCAAGAAAAATATCATTCTTTCATCCAACATTATATGCAATAGCTTATTGATCAATCCCTTCTAGATCATGATATTTACAGAAGACAACATACTAATTTTTTAAGGGAATAAGCTGATGCTAAATGCGAGCACGCGGAGAGAAAAAAAAGATGCGATAAAGGAAAGAACTTTAACAGGGATGACATTTTAAAGCAACAGTAACTCTTATTATTTGAATTCCTTTATTTAAAGTAAAGGCAGATTTTATCTCTGTTTCAAAGTGGAAAACACTGTACAAACTTCAGGCTATGCGGTAAAATTAAAAATCACCAATACCAAGCGCCTTTTACCTGGTTATGATAACAGGAATGCCACCATAAGCTGCACTAACAGCAGCTTTAACTTTTGCAGTCATGCCCCCTCGTCCTAATCTGGACTTTTCACCAAACGTAATCTCTTCCTGGTGCTTTTCTTTAATGTATGTGTGGATTAACTTTGAATTAGGATCGCTTGGAGGGCCAGTATAAAGACCCTCAACATCACTTAAAAGGATCAAAAGATCAGCTTTCAGCTCCAGCGACAGTAGAGCAGCCAAGCTGTCATTGTCCCAAAATATACCAGTAGCATCCTGCATAGATTAAGAGTGCGGTGAAGCTGTAGGTTAGACTAAAAGAGTACAGTCAATTAGTAGAACTGTAAGCCAAAAGCAACCAGAAAGAAACGTAATCAACAAACCTTATAGGGGGCTCTCCGAGTGCTTATAGCATCGTTCTCGTTGAAAACTGGAATAACTCTCATCTTGAGCATCGATTTGACTGTCTCGCTAAGTTGCTTCCTGAAATCCTTATCTCTGAAACTGCTATCAGTCACAAGCATTTGAGCCACCGTCACATCCATCTACCCAATAAAAATGACAAGGAAACAACACATCAGTATATGAAATGCTTGCCAATAGTCAAGAACATAGCCAAAAAGACACAAAAAGGAGCATCACCTGGTCAAACATAGTCTCATAGTAAGCCATGAGACTGCTCTGTCCAACACCAGCACAAGCCTTCCCATCAAGTTCAGTTTGAGGCTTCTGCAGGTCTGCAAAGCTGGAATCCGTAGAGAAGAAGAAGAAGAAGAATCAGCACAGAAACAAACAAACAAAAAACATATATATACAATTCCCCCAGAGAGACACAACTCGAGCCTTCGAGCAAACGTAAGGCTTGTTTCCATCACATAACCTGCTGTTGACTAATTGTCTGTATCGAAGCCTTTGGCG